ACTTTGCATTTATGTATTGGTGAACTTAACAGATTATTATTATTATTATTGCTTCAGAAATGAAAAATAAAAACGAAAACATGATCAGATGAACGATGACTAATGAATATCCTTAAATATCCTTCCCGATTTTAAATGTTCACTTTAATATCTTTTCTGATCTTAAAAGCTATGTGGTAGTGATAATAACCAATCGAAATTCGGCGGGCTATTGACCAAATTTTCGGATTAACATTCTTTGCGAGTTTCGATTAACTACCGGGGTTCGATACAATAAGAAATAAAATAAATAAGATGACGAGCAGTAATATGAATCGTAAATGACAAACAAACCAAATACAAAGAAGTGGACAACCGTGAAACGGTTTTAAAACGAAATCCGTTGAACGATTTCGTTTTCAGAAATATGCGGAAGGAAGAACGTATGATCAAGAAAACACGATCCCAGTAACAGAGATATTCAACACTGATGGATCGCGTACAACATGGCGATTCACTAGAGAAAAAGAAAGCAAAATCCAGAATGAGTGTTTATTCAATGAACTGAAAAGTATTTCGTTCATCAGAAAATAAGTCCACCTTCATGCCCTCTCATAAAAATGAAATGAACGAATAATAATTCTCAAACGCGAAAAGACTGGGAAAGCACTAAAACTTTTGTTCGCATCAATGTTCCTATTCTATTCTCAGCTGGAACATTACTGCAAGTAAATAGACAACGCAGTTTATAGTCCGATTGAACAATGTCGTTTAGGTGAAATACAAAATTTCCGAATATACAATTCGTCCCAAGAAATGAAATTCACGATTTTGGACTGAGCACTAAACATTATACTGTCTTAACCAATATTTTCCAGCTTCGTGGAGCGGAAATACTCATGACATATTTTCCATCTCAGTTTCAATAACAAAACAACAGCAACGATAATAATAATAATAATAACAACAACAAAAATGATAATTACAATAACTATAATAGCGATAACTATACAATAACAATAATGCAATACTTGGGCGACTTTCATACGTAAACTGCATACTCACTGGGAATTTTCAGGAGTGGGGAGATGAAACTGAAAGGAAACAATCATACAACCGAAACTAATGATAATCGAAATTCCATTGAAAATTGGCAAATTTTAGTGTAAACCCTCCAAAAAAAAAGAACTTTCAACAAGCCCGATTCAAGTGAAAGAATATCTGATCGCATCATCCCATATCACCATCAAATCGCACATTTCTTCTTCTTCTGAAATTTGTAAATAGCATTGAAAGTTTGAACCACTTTAGGAATTAATCAATTATAAACAAATGTAAATTACGAACGAACGAATGAATGAATTCAAATCTTTTAATCCAAATTAAAACTCACTTTCTTGGCGACTCTTCCGAATCGCCTTTTTTATGTTCCTTGCAGTGCGCGCATTTGGTTCTAAAAAGTGCTATAAATGTAATATCGTTGGATAGAAATGCATGAAATGAATTTGAATTGATAACACGGTATTGTTTTGAACAAGAAACAAAGGTAAATTGACTAAAAACGAACGAACCGATACAAAGTTTTGCGAGAGTGTGCGTTGGAATCGCGTTAATTCGCGAGATGATCACCGACAGACTCGGGATCTTCGACTTCCATTCGTTCACCGCAATCACCTCGTACAACATTTTACCAATCTTCTGCTCATCCAAATATTTACCCTTCTCTATTCGCATACCCAACAAATCATTTGCATGGTACGCTATAAAGAACTCGATGCGATCGTTCAGTTGTGCCACTTCAACAGCCGTCTTAATATGAACGTTATTATCACAAAGTAATCATTAATAAATTAATAATAATAATAACAATAATATATAGCAAGAAATCACCCTCATTTGAGAGCATATAGTGTCGACAGCAGTATTAATAGCAACAATTTCCATCGGAACAACCCATCTGATGTTCATTGACTGAATGTCAGTGGGATTGTTATGCGATACGTTCAGTTGTTTCAACGTATTTATAACGAAATCACTTCGTAAAGCACCAACATTACCGTTCTTGAATGTATTCTTGATAACGATTGGTCGTTGAACTGAAACAGTCTATTTATATATGCTACGTTTGGTTCGAAATCTTAACTAAAAATTCTAAAACGAGTATTATAACGANACGATTAACACGATCAAATTGAACAAGGAATCAGCTAGTGTAAAGAGATTTTGCAGTGAAATATTTGCACTAATCATTTATTCGAGGACATTCATCCATGGAATTTGAATTATTGTCATTTGTTCTTGGAATGCAATAGGCTGGAGTCCATTTGAAGTTTAATCCATTTTAAGTAAAAAATAAGTAGAAATGAGCAGAAACATGATAAAACAAAAAGAAGTGTCAACTGACCGGATAAGTTCTCTCCCATATCAAGCAACTCGTCCACATCTAAATCGACAACCACTCGATAGATATCGTCAATCGTCGGCAGATTCTCCAGCCATCCTCTCGCACAACTGATTCTCTTGAAAAGTGTACCACAAACCAGTCGCAATCCGGCAGGATCGGGCTTGTGCAATTTCAATAATATTTCATCGGCACCCGCTCGAATAATGTAAAGTGTTCGTTTTTCTTGTTGTTCCTTTGATAGTGCTGCTCGAAGGTGACGCTGAAACTGATGTGGTGCTGCATTTTGAAAATATTTCAGTGAGTCTATCGATTGTAAACCGAACGGCTTCTAAATGATACCATGCGATTTTTTGATAAATGAGTTCGAAATATCACTGGGTAATTGATTTGCAACAATTAGTAGTAATGTTGGTAATTCACATAAGTTTCCTTTTCATATTCATTCCTCGCTTCGTAGTTTTTCCGCATTTGTCTCGAAAAGTTGTACTGGTTGATTTAATTCTCTCAGTGATCAGAAGGTCATGAAATCTTCTCCACTTCCCGAAGCAAGTGTAGGTTTAAGAAACGTGAAGCTGATAGTGTTCGAGAAGTGAATCTACGTCACCTCAATTTGTAAACTGTGTTTCTCGCGCAGCGCTTTAGGTACGAATGGCTTTAAGTCGTAATTGAGTATGGATACTGGAAAATCGGCTGTGATCTGTATTTGGCTGAGAACGGATTGCCGGAATCGTTTATTCAACCATCCCACGTTGATGTTATCGTAAACTGATCGCAATGCTCGCTTGATCTCTGAATCATTAACATCACTCATTTTATGAAGAAGCATTGTTACATAATATACATTTAAACGCCTGACACAACTTTCGCCTCTTCAACTACGAGAACCTTGAAAATCGCAGATTTTCGAACAGTCTGACTTTAAAGAAGATAAGTTGTCCATCTTCGTCAACTTCAAACTGATTGTTTGAATTACCTAACATACTCTACAGACAGAACAAAATAAATGTTTACAGAAAATTTCATTCCTCAAAAATATCTGACAAATGAAAAAAGATGAAAATTCCGATTCAAAGATATAAAAGACTAACCGCATACTTCAGTCAGATAATCGAGTGGAATGGGCAGGATGGACGACGATGAAGCAATTACAGGAGCGTTCTGAGATCGAGCAGATCCGAAATCTTGTTTGTTGCTCATATCGCTATCGTTGTCAACGACATTTATCGAAGTGTTACTTGTACTGCGCTGTGACGGTATCTCTTCACAATACTCCAGACTCGATTCTCTCGTTCCGCGATCACCTCTGTCGGCAGCACTCTTTTCAACGACTCGATCAGCCGCATCGTTCTCATTACTGTCAACGATTTTAACCAGAGTCAAGTTTTTACTTCTCTTACGATTATCATTATTATCAGCACTGCCATCATCACTCGCACACCGCTTACGATTCGACGAGATGATTCGTGGTTGTTGCTCTGATGTGCTTTCCTGAGCGGTTTCGCCTGATGTCGATGCTTCGGTATCTTCAGCCGAGTTCATTGATTTTTCAATTGAAAACTGAGCTGACGGTGTGTCTGAATGAGTGAGTGTGTTATTGGTGACAGTTGACATTAACTGATTAATAAGTGCAATGAACAAAGGTTGTTACTGGCAGTGTATTTGAACAGAACAAAAATTCAGCTGAATTCAAAAATGTGAACATTCCACAAAAATCTGCAGGAAACGTGCGATTTTCGGCT